GCCGCCTCTCCCCGCGGCCTTGGCCAGCCGCCGGGCTATGCAGCGCCCTGGCCGCCTTCACGCTTGGCTCACCCCCAAACCGCCTCCTCCGCCTCCTTATTTGTCTGAAAAGCAACCGCACGTCGAGGCGAAGAAGCCCGCCGGGGCAACAGAGGCCGGGCCGGCGTGAGTGCGCGCCGCGCTGCGGGGGGCGGGGCCGGGGCGGCGCGCCTGTCTGCGGGCCCCTTTGTCCCCCAGGCCCGGGCCAGCGCAGTGGGGGCAGCGGGGTGCCCTGGGTGCCGAGGGCCGGGGCGCGCGCTCGTTGGCCGCTCGCCGACCGGGCCCCGAGTCGCCGATTCCTGCCGAGTAAGCAGTCTGGCTCCGCCGCGGCAGCACAGTGGCAGCAAGGCTGGGGCGCTGGCGCCGCACCAGCCCATCAGAATTAGCTCATTGTTCACTAGCACACTAGCAGCAGAGAGAGGGAGAGAGAGAGAGAGAAAGAAACTGACTCTTAGAGAAAGAGACACACACTCTTGGAGAGAGAGAGAGCGCGAGGCAGGGAGACCTTCCCCTCCTTTTTCCAAGGCTGCACTTCTTGGAAGTGAAGCTGGTTTGGGTTTTGTTTCCCTTCCCCCTCCTCCCTCCTCTTCCTCCACCCCTTTTCCCTCCCCCTGCCCCCTCTCCCCATCCCCCAGCTGTCTTTCTAGCATGATACCCTTTTTCATCCACATTTGTGTTTCAGGTGTAGAGAGGAGAGAGTGAACAGGGAGCGGGGCTTTTGTCTGTAAGTATATGCCATTCCCATCCCCGGCCGGGAGCGCTGCTTTCTCTTTTGTGTCGATTTCTTGCCGTTGCTCTTAGCTGGACCCTGCAGAGTTCATGCTTCTTCCCTCTTAATTTTAAAGAGCTGAAGCTTGTACTTGGAGAAATTCTGGCATTTTGGGTCCTACTGCATTAAGGCTGGAATTTAACTTGGGCTTTTTTTAAAAAAATGCACAAGTTAAGAGGAGAATTCTTTTGCGAAGGGGTGGGGTTTTTTGCTTGTTCGTGTGGTTAATTTTTGTTCTTCTTGCTCATAAAGCATTGTTAGGAACTGTTTTGTTTCTTTTCATGAGATGCACTTTGGTGCATGCAAGCCTCCCCCCCCCCCCCCCCCCCCTTTATAAAATGAATTTGTGTCCCTCCATCCTTAGACTTTATTACTCTTTCAAAGCTCCTGTCGCCTCCTGGGGTCTTTCCAGGCATTCGGTCTTGCAACACTTTTTTTTTCCTGTATTTTCTTATAAAGCAGTTGAACTTCAGGGGAGGGAGGGCTTAAAAATAACTGACTGCTTTTTGCTTGATGATGATAATAATCTCATTTGCATTTATATGTATCTGTAATACCATTATAGGAAAACTCGAAAAGCTTAAGATACCCTGTTAGAGAACTTTTAGTTTCTCCATTCATCTTAATTTTTGTCTTAACTTATGTTAACAAAAGAACTGTGTTCTGATGACACAAAGGTTGAGAGGAAAATCACTGCAGCATGTACATTAATGTTTATTTGGTTTAGGGAGAAGGGCATAATGGTGTATATTCCTGACTTTTCCCCCTCAGTGTAGTTTTTTTTTTTTTTTTTTTTTTAAGCACGGAAGGTTATGTAATGCAGTGCCATTTCCAAAAATATCCACTCTGAGGCATTACACTACGCGGTGGAAGGCTGATTCCTATTCTGCTGTCTTGATTGCAAATATACTGCCAGTAGTATGTCTGGGAACAAAGAGCAGCCAGAAAACAATCTATTTTTATCACTTGGTTCTACTTTTAAGTTCGAACTCCTGCAATTTAAAGATGAACCCAACAGTAAGAATAGCCCAGGACTCTGGGAAGCTAGGTACCAGGGATTCCTTTGTCCCCTATTTAAGCCTACAGACCGATTGAAAAGCTCTTTCAGAAGCCCCAGTGGTTACAATAATTTGCATTTAACTTAGCTTAACCACAGAAAATGGTTATTTGTCTGTAGCCTCTAAACAGGCTTTCTCATTTGCTGACATGTGGTGTGGCAATTTGTCTACTGTATTTAAACATATTTTGCAGGTTGGTTGGTCTCCTTGGACTGAAGAGAGGGAGGGTGCAAGGCCAAGACTGTTAAGGATTCTCAAAATGGTAAGCATTGGTCATCAGAGGAGAGATTCTCAGTTGCTTCTTATCGGTCTTTATTCCATATAAATATCAACCACCCACCTTCATCCTGCCTGAACCCTCCATTGTTCCTACCCCATCTGACCTTTCAAAGGTTCTGTCTCTAGCCTGGGGAGCTTTGCAGTACAGCAGTTTATATGAACTGGATGTGGTGAATTAGGGATTAGGTCTTTTGATTTTCAATCATTTTGAATAGAAAACTGAAATTCCTCTTTCAGAAGTGGCAATTTATTTAACTCCAACAACAGAAACCATTCTGTTCTTTAAGAAGAGTGATATGCTGTGACATGCATGGAAGAGGTGGCAGCAGTAGGGCTCAAATAAAGCAATGAGTCTTCTATTAGAGATAGCCAGAACTTATCCCCCAAAGTAGGAGTCTGTGTCCAGCTAATCCAACAGCTATAAAATCTGCTGTCTTTAAAAGCAATATATACATAGAGCATGGACTTTTATATTAATACACTGTCTATTGTATCTCAAACATAGTGTTTTCTTGTTGTTGTTGATTTATAACTTCATTTATGAGAGATAGCTGCTCAGTTTTAGAAGATAAGCATGTTATGCTCTGAATGAAAGTGTAACTATTTCTGACAAGCATTATGATCCACAGAGGAGGAAGTTAAGTGTTTGATGACTGATTAAAGAAATAGATGAAATACACATTAAAAACAGTTGAATAAGTATATTAATTTTCTTTGAAAAATTTCCTCTATGGAAATAAAGTTGAACTGAAAAATAGAACAGAAATGTCATGAAACTTTTCACTTAAGTACAGCATGTCCTCCTGCAGATGTTTATGCTCTTTAAAACACCTCTTTGCCACTTAGAGTGTGTGATTTCCAAATTTAGTTTTCATTTTTTCTTTTAAACGAGGGAGGAATTTAATGAATCAAAATTGAATCCGATGTACTTGATGTTTTCTTTGAGAACAATCCAAGTATAAGCTTCCAACGAGAAAAATGAATCAGAAGCAGTTAAATGAATTCTGTTTGAATTCTGTTAATAAGTAAACTCTTATTTTTTGTATATGCCTCACCTGTCATTTCAACAGGTGGGTGTCAAAGCACCTAATCAAAGAAATCTTGTTTGGACATAAATTGATAATGACCAAATTAAGGAACTTAAGGTAGGAGGCAAAAGTGATGAACAGAAAATTAAACTAATCAGTAGGTTTTGTGCAAATGGTTCCTAACTCCATATTAAATTCCTAACTAGCCATTGTCATAGAGTTCTAGGATGGTAATAAAATGAACTGCTGCAAAGTATTTTTGTTTATTTAATTATCTTTTACTGTGACTGGCTACATCATCTTGTCTTATAGCTCTTTATCCCAGAACCTTACCCTTTGTGTCACCATAGATAGACCATGAAGATTCATGTGTGTTGTGATATGTCAGGTGACCAGTTTGGTTGAACATCAATTTGACCACTGACTCTGCCAAAACTAGCCCTATAGATCAGGCTCAAAGAGTAAATATCATGTTTCCATAGTAGTGAGCGGAGTGAGCTTTGTGGAAGGCAAGCATGTGTGCCAAAGCCGAGAATGAAAGTTGGAACGATTTGCATGCCGAAGAGCAAATTCGAGTTATTACTACATGTTGTCAGTTTCTTACAGTTGTCGTTTATGTATGGTGGCAGAATGAGAAATCACAATTTGTTGCTCTTGGAAGGATTTTGAGTCATGGAAAAATTCTCACAACTTTTTGGTGATCCTTTCATCAAGATGTCAGTCCCTTTTGGCACAAGCCCATTGCCTGAAATGAAACCACCGACAGTTATTGTCCGTGGGTGATTCCAAGTAACTTTCTAGCAATTCTCTTATTCCAGGAGGTCTGAGGTCTTCAGTCTTTTCACATTCTAATGTAAAAAAAAAAGTTTCGACTGTGTTTTTTTAAAAACTGATATTAGAGGGGTCTTATACCTGCTTTTCTCCTTTTTGGAAAAATGAAGTTATTTTCTTTCCTTGATTAAAACAGATTACTTTGCTGATCTCTGTAACTGGCTTTTTAAAGACTTAGCCCGTATACAGTAGAAACTAGTACTAGGGAAGCAATAGAGTTAACACCTGGCCACCTTTAGAAAATATACAAACATGCCTTTTCTGTTAAATGTGTATTTCCATTTACATAATTTAAAACATTAAAGAGGATCTAATTTCAGTGTATTTGAGCTGCTTAGTAAAGGGCCGATTCCAAATACAAATTTATAGTCAGCTCATTCCAGAGTAAGAAATTAACTAGTAGACTCCAGAATTCAAAACAGAGTGATTCAATATTTAGACATTTGACATACCCTAAAGTGATGTTTCACAACGATAATTTGAAGGCACTAAAGAATACTAATGCGCCTTTTGCATTATCAAAAAAATACAACTGCTTTGTTAACACTACAAGGCTTTAATCACATTGTACTCTGCGTAGGGGACCCTTTGGGCACAACTCCAGGGGGCACCATTTACATAGACTACAGTTCATCTGGGATTGTGCATTTTAGGAGGACTGTTAAAAGTTTTAATTTTGAGTGTGGTTTGCCTTATTTTCGTTTTCTAGAATTTTTTTTTTAATAACTCATCCCTCAGCTTTTTCAGTTTTCTAGTAAACATACCTTTTTCTAGTCCCCCCCACCCCCTTCTTTGCAATTAACAAGATATTTGTGAGTCTGCAGAAATCTTCAACATTTCTTTAATTTGTATTTGGCTTTTTGTTAAATTTAATTTCTAAGATTATATTTTACATGGGTCCTTGGTTTTTACTTAGCTGTTTTATTTTAGAATTTTTTTTTTTTTTTTTTTTTTTTTTTTTGGGA